GTTTTCCTGATTAGCTTTGGATGGCTTCTCTATTTCTTTGTTACTTTTGGATATTGGTTTTTGTTTTCATTAATAATGTTAATATGACATGTTATGATAAAACTCCTTATTTAGTCATTAGTTAATTATGTTTTCTTCGTTCTTCTTTCTTAAGAAACCCTACGAATAATTTACGTGGAGTAATCCACGTAACATATTCTCTCTCTCTCCGGCGGTTGCAATGACAAATCATTCTTTCATCGATTTTATTTTCTCGCTCTTATGCAATATCGAATCTTGCCGCCATCACTTTCATCCTCCTTCTCTACAGCCGTCTCTCTAGACTATCTCTTTGTCTCGCTTCGACTGCGGCGACGATGACTCATTCACTCTAGCCCATCTCTCTCTCTCTCTCTCACTGCTGGTGGCGGCAACCAAGCCATCAACTTCTCTCTTTTCTCTGTCTATATCTCCTCTCTATTGGTTGCCAAGTTTTTGATGACGATGTTGCTTACTTTCTCTTGCCTCTTCTAATTTTTAAAAGATAAATATTTTCTAAAATTATTGTATAAAAAGGAAGGACATAAGTTACTATCTTACCCCTAACTAATTAATTAAAATTTCAAACATTAATTTATGTAAACAAAATTCTTATTGGCTAGGCATAGTGACTTAAGGGAACTCCCTTTAGTCACCTGATCTCATCCCTTCTCACCATGGGCTCAAGTAGCGATGCCAACCGAACATGTATCTCAATTCTCATATCCTCATCAAGCGTAGATCAAGTCTGATAATACTAGCATGGGGTATGGATTGGACAGAACAACTCATTCAAGAATATATTTATTTTTAACGATAAAACAAACAAAAAATAGTTCGTGAATGAAACTTAGAGATAATAGGCAAACTAATAGAATCTAATTAGTTGAAAGATGAAATCTTGCCCTTATTTAAACTATCGTTGAGCGAAAATATGAGTTAATAGAAGTTAAAATATGAGAAATAAAAATAAATATTGAGATAAATTAAAATAAACACCTAAAAAAAGAGGCGAGATGAAACGAAATAGAACAAGACGAAAACAATACATATGCTCTGCTCCACACTAGGGTAAAATACCTTGGGTACCACTAAAGTATGAGAATTGGGGTAGTTATACCACTTAAGTAAGAATAGGGCATCGCGTCCGCGTGCCACTAAACTCTATTATATGTGCACCCGATACCACTTAATTTTACTCTCAAGTGCATTCCGTTAAAGTTGACAGAATATTCTTGGAATATTCTATTTTCTATATTTCAGAATTAGTCCTTCTACTTTTTCTTATTGTAAAAAATCTTTTGAGCTTATGAAAACATCATTATTTTATTGTTTTAGTTGGAATAATCTTTTGAATACTCTGTTTTAAAGCAAACCAATTTTTGAATATGAAATTTAGAATCAATTATCATTATAAGTATTTTCAATTATCATTATGTGTTCAATTAATAGGATATATTCCCTAAAGAAAATATATCCTATTAATTCTGTCTCGATATAAATAATCAGAGGATGTTATATTTAGTTCTTTTACATCAGGCTGATCTTTTCTAATTTTCTATATTAAATCTCATTGTAATTATCTAATATTATGTAGATATTTCATATTAGTTAAATTTACTAATTGTAATTCTCTTTCTATAATCATATTTTCTTTTTTAGATTTATTACTTCATGTTGTAGCTTTTATAGTTTACATAGATCTTTTTTTGGCTTGATGTACTGATGGTCGATTAGATTCTATTTTTAATGATTTTTTTAATTGTATTAAGAGTTTAAAGAGATATTCTAATATTAATTTTATATATTTATTCTTATATTCTAGTATATTTGTTATTTCTTCTTTATATTCATTTATTATTTTTACTAATTTATCTATTTTATTGAAAAAATTCATTAATCATTCTAGTAATACTAATTTTTTTATGAATATTCTAGTAATACTATGTTTAGAAGGTTTTCTAATTTTATATGAGATAATACTTATTGAAATGTAGTTTTTTATGTTTTAAAAAGTTTTGGGTACCAACTAAGGTTTTGGATTGGATGAAAAACTATACGGATGCACTTTTTGACGATTTTAATGGTACTCGATATCCTATTCAAACTTAAGTAGTATGTCTGTACCAATTCTCAAACTTAACTAGTAACCGAGTTATTTTAACCTTTCACACTACTAAGAGTCGGGTATTACTATTCACATTCAACTGGAATCAGGGTAGATAATAGTTTATCCATTATAATTATAAATATAATTAAACCAAGTCTTTAGATTATTAGGTCAAAACACGAATACACCTCATTGCTCAGACACCACTCCTCTCACCCAAAACGAATACACAAAACCCACCGCCGCCACCGTATGGAACAGAGGGAAAGCCCCACTGTCGCCGGCAGCCATGACGAAGAGCGAGACCGCATCTCGGAATTACCCGACGAGATCCTCCATGACATCATATCTCGTGTAAATTCCCAAAAATTCATCGGTAAAGCCACCGTCCTCAGCAAAAGATGGGCCAAGCTCTGTTTCTCGTACCCAACCTTGGAATTCAACCGCAACGATTTCCGATCCAAGGAAACCCTAAAAAGCTTCATCGCTGCAGCCGCTAAGAGGTTATCTTCCTCCCAACACCAAAACAACACCAATTCCGATCTCTTCGCCGTCAAGATTAAATTTGACATCAGCGGTTGGTTGGGAAACCACAACTCGGACTTCTGCACCTCCATCCTCGACGATCTGCTCGGATCCGTCGCCGAGAATCCGCCACAAAGGATATATGTCACAGCATCGCATTACAGCATCCCGCGCGAGTTTCTATTACCCGCTGGCGGCGGCCAATTATGTCGAATCAAACATCTCAGCTTGGAGAATTGCAACTTTGACCGCTACGTTGACCTTTTCCCAGACGACAACAACAGGAGCAACCCTTTCGACTGTCTTCGCGGATCCCTCAGGAAGTTGAGCCTCATGAGCGTCAATTTCCCCGACGGCGGCCGGATTCTGAATAGCATGGTCGCCGGCGCCTCCCTCTTGGAGGAATTGACGGTGATGTTTTTTCGAGGGGTTAAGAGGGTTCGGGTTCGGGATCTACCGAACCTGAAAAGTTTGACGCTTTACACCCGTGACAAGGTGGACTTCGATATCGCATGGCCCCACTGTCCATCAAAGGATGGCGCCATGGCGATTGTGTTGACGCCAGATCTGGCAAGTGTGGAAATCGCATCTGCACGTAAGAGAGAAAGTCATTGCTCTTTACAAAACTAGTACTGAATTTTGGTTACTTATTTATGAGATCCCGTCCATTTTGATAGTTGTTTCTAATTCTACTATTTGTCAGGTGCTTGCGCATCCGCCAAATGGGACGTTGAAGATTTGATATGGGATTCCCCACTCTTGGAATCGTCAAAAGCATCAACAAGGGATTTCTCGAAAGTGTATGACCTGCAGATCGTCAATAACGATGAGTTAAAGGAAGTCAAATTGGATTCATGGAACTATTCGATTAGTCTCTCTGACATAAGTTTCCTTCCATGGGTTAACCTTCATTTCTTCCCTACAATCTTAAGTAAGGATGACAAATCCTTTGCCTTGGTGACAACCCACATCGCACTCTCCCGGCGCCTTCTTAATGGTTTGGGGAAGCTTCTTGCGAAGCTAAGCCAATTCTGGTTGAGTGTACAACTCATACATGAGTTTCCAAATGGTTGGGTATGTGAGCCTCTGATTAATATTATGGTTCACCATTTAGGGTTTGAGATCGTAATTCTATTTAGAAACTAACACATAGATATATGGTATTGTTATTGTTGTGTTTGCTTATTTGATTAGTTGTTCATTCTTTGCAGGAGGAAGATGTGGATCAATGTGGAGATGTTCAGTCTCCAATTATTGAACATGTGATAGTTTCACAACGGTCTTTGTCATCGTGCAATAAGAAGGAATTCTTTTTAGATACCATATTCTATTGTTGTCACCCTAAATTTTTATCTTTTACTCCGAGGATATATAAACTGTCAAGAGAAAATATGTTATCAGTTGGCGAGGTACGTAAGCGCTGGAATCGTTTGCTTAAATGTAACACTTTTCTCTACATATTTGCTCTTGGTACATTCTCCTTGAACGAATACATTCCTTTTTGTAGTATTGATGATTTCTTGTTTCTTGGATTTTGCAGTCTATAAAACAGCTCTTCATGAAAAGAGAATTCAATGATCGTTGTGATGTCAAATGCAATTGTTGGCGCCATTTATTGGAGGATGTCAAAATCTTACATAGAAGTATAAAAGGAAGCATTAAAGAGGACAAAATTATGAACATTTCAAATTTTATGTTTTCATCTCTTGGTCAACAAGATAAAATCTGGTTTGTTTTGATTTGGCGTTAAATTCTTATGGCTTGTACGTAGCTCTACTTCTCTAGTCAAGGTGATATTTGTTGGTGAAACTTATTTGTGTTCTCATGTTAATATTTGCCTAGTCGTTAGTGATTTTCATGAAGTGCTATCTTTAATTTTTGGCTTCACCTATCTTGTTTGCGTCTAAGTTATTGCGAGCAAAAACCATAATTATTGTGACCTTTTCTCGCTCTTATATGATTTATCTATAAGGTTATCTACGACCAAAAACAAATTTTTTTACGAAGAAGTACATTTGATATAATTGAATAATGCTTCAATCAAATAAAAAACAAAAAACAAATTTTTTTGACAATGAAGTACATTTGATATAATTGAATAATGCTTCAATCAAATACAAGACAAATTGAATTATCGAGCAAATAAATTGACCAAAACCAAAGCTGTTATCATCCATTTTTACTTTTTTTTTATCCATCTACAGTCCTCGAAAGCAAAGTGGTAAGGCATGTCTTCGATGTGTACACGAATCCTGAGCTTATTCGAGCTGAAGGTTAGCCATCTAGCAACAATCAAAAGGAAGCCATGTTATGTTCAGAACAGAAAGGTGTTTCCTTGAAATGTTTTCTATACACCAAGCTTTCTGAACAACCAAATCTTTCGTTCGTCAACATCCATTGCAACAAAAGCCTCGGCTTTCTCCACATCTTCCAACGCTCCACAGGCATCCCTAAAAACGACATCGTTCATTCCTGGTATTTCTTGCAGAGCATCAACGATTGCCTCAAATCGAAGTGAGCTGTTTTGCATCGTCCTCGACTCTGTGGGACTTCTTCCTGTGCAAGTCCGGTGATGGTGCAGCAGATTTTCTTCGCCTCTTTCTACGATCAGAGATTTCGTGTTCTCCATTCGCATATGCTGAACCTTCAGCGCCACCCTTGATCTCAGTGTCTAGGGTATTATGAGCATAAATCAAGCATAGAGCATTGTAGCTTGGCAAAGTGTCTTTGTATTTGATTGCAGATTTGATGGTCCTGAAAGGAGACGAAAGTTCTGAATCAAAATTCGAACGTACAACTACTATGTCCTTTCAGAAAGAGTGAGCGACAAAGTTTTAAAGAAGAAGAAGACAAAGTTTTAAAGAAGAAGAATGTCATCCTCGTCACCTGCAGGTTCAGGAGGAAGAGCTTTGTAACAGTACTTCTAGCAAGTGATTATGTTATCTAGATGTCAGATAGAAAGAACATACCATAATCATATCAAAAAATATAGTCATTGGCAGTCACCGAGTCATCTAAATTGGCAATCCATCCACAATGGATTGGATCTCCAAATATCAAGAACAAGTTATTGAAGTTTGGCAAAGCTTTAGAGTAGTATGATTGTGCATCTGGGTATTGCTGCATAAAGTCAAATGGTGTATAAGATTGTTGTAATAGATAACTGTTTTTTTGTCAGAAAATCAAAATATCCAAAAAGGGCACCTGAAGATAAGCAGTCCACAGATAGTCATCGGCTCTTATCCTTTGTTGCATTTCGTCCCAGGAGAACCCACTCTGACCAAGTAGCAGTTTTATATCATTGAATTGCTTCCTCAGATATACCAACCGACTTTTCAAGACATCTTTGTCATGACAACGGCCAAACTCCACATTGAATTTCTCGACCATGTCCTTCCATGCTAGATTATTAAGATTCTAACAGGACATACTTCCGTGTTGAACGTGCACCAACATCGTATCGATAAAAAACTCGATCCATATCAGGAGTCCAATCAATAGTGCGGGTACCACCATCCAGTCTGGTTTCTAGGAAAAATTCCGTTAGAAAGAATGGTGAGGAGAAATACAATCAAGATAATGCCACACAATATCTCTGCTAGTGCAACAGAGGATTCAAGTGAGCCCCCAAAAAGGTAACAAGTTTGACATTGCTGAACTTGTAACCTAAGGATTCTCGGTTAATACAATTGACTTTGAGAGGTTGGCCCTCTCCGTGGATTAGTCTCAACAATACGTTGAGGATACCGATTTACGTTGAGAAGGATTACAACACAGAACACACCGATTTACGTGGTATCCTCAATGTATTGTTGAGACTAATCCACGGAGAGGGCCAACCTCTCAGAGTCAATTGTATTAACCGAGAATCCTTAGGTTACAAGTTCAGCCAATATCACATATATATACTGACCGAATAACCCTAACTCGATGATCACAATGTAATTAACCAATACTTCTAACACAAGGATTAAAGACTAATTACAATTAACACCCAACACTTCTAACAATCCATTGCCCACATCTGAAACCTAAGTGCCATAAATCAAGTGCAATAGTCTGGCTTAGGTTTAGACCAACATGCATCAACATCTGGGTTTCCCTATAGAGACCTCCTACCATGCCTTGAAGTTACTATAACTTGACCTTTTCGACCTTCTATTGCAGGTTTTATAGGTCGCATTATGTAAAACTAATGTTTATTACGTTACAATTACGTAATGCTTGTTAGTCTTACGACAGTTAAACTAGAAACGTTAAGGAAAGTTTCCGTAACGACTTATCATTTTATGTAACACTAGCTTAATATTCATTACGTAAAAGCATAGTCTATTACATAATGCTTCCGTAATGACATTTTACAACTGTTACATAAAATACACGCTCATTACGTAAAGGTTACGTTACGAAGGTTATTTCTTACGTAACAATTAAATTAGAAGTGTTACGTAAGACTTACCACATTACGTAACTTGATTAATATTCATTACGCAAAAGGACCATCCATTACGTAAAACTTCTGTAATACCAGTTTACAACTTTTACGTAAAGTATGCATCTATTATGTAAAGGTTACTTAACGATAGTTATTTCTTACGTAACAGTTAAATTAGAAGCGTTACGCAAGTCTTCCGTAATGATTTAACAAATTACGTAACGAAAGATTAATATTCATTACGTAAAATGAGTGTCTATTACGTAAGGTTTTCGTAATTACATTTTTCAACTATTACGTAAGATAAACACACATTACGTAACCATTATGTAATGGTTATTGTATTTTACGTAAAGCGACTTGTTAAACCTGTTATAGCAGGTCAAAAACATCAAGTTACAATAACTTCAAAGTATTGTAGGAATTTCCTTCCCTATATTATAAAATATGTTAGCCATTTTTTATGAGTACAACCGAGGGACAGGATATGGTGACAACCCTTTAAGGGGGTTGTCAGATTCACAACTCACTTCATAGCCCTTGGATACTCTCTCTCCTGTTTTTTTTTTTTTAAATTAACTGTTAAGATTAAAGGAAGGGTATTTTTGGAAGGGTAAAAATTTACCACACCCAATCATTCACCCTACCATATAAAAAGAAAAAAATCCTAACTCCTCCATCCTCCCTCTCTCTCTCCTCCCTCTCTCCCGTAGCCATCACCGTCTCTCCTCCCTCTCTCTCGCAGAGCCCTCCACCGGCGCCGTCGGCGCCCCTGTCTCCTGCAGCCGCCTGTCGAGCCTTCCACCGTCGTCGTCTCCGCTATCCTCAGCCTCCCTCCACACCCTGTTGTTGCAAATCCCTCCCACCGGCCCGTCGAAACGTCCGCCTCCCACCACCGGGGCACAATCATCCTCTCCCCGTCGGAGCCCTCTCGCCGCCCTTCGTCCCCCACCACTGCCACCGTCGCAAGGTCACCCTCTTCCCCTACCTCTCTCTCTCTCGTCACCGACTCTCCTTTTCTAGATCTGGGTTTTTAGTGGTACCATTTTTCTTCTGGTAGCGTACCAGTGATAGTGGTACCTACCACTACCATAAGGTAGCTGGTAGTGGTAGCGTACCACTATCATCTGGTACCACTATCATCTGTTTTTTTGTGTTATTCTCTACTGGTACCGCTACCAATGCTAGTGGTAGCGCTACTAGTGCTAGTGGTACGATACAATATGGTAGTGGTAGCGCTGTACTGGTAGCGTACCACTAGTACTGGTACATTTTTTAACGCACTGATAGCGTACCACTAGCACTGGTATATTAATTACCAATAGACTAATGGATTGGTACACTTTTTAACGCACTTGTACATTTTTTCACGTTGCCGGAGGGAGTCTGCAGGAGAGAATTCGCCGGAGAAAAAGTCTGTCCGTCAATGCGGAGTGGCCGGTGGAGAAAGGAAGAGAGAGAGATAGATAGAGATATTAATGTATTGGATTTAAATTTTAAAAAAAATTGTATTTAATATGAGTTTTTAATTCCCAATATAATTAATAAAAAAGGTAATTAATATATTACTTTTTTCATACCCAAAATACTTTTGGTTATGAATCTGACAACCCCCTTAGGGGTTGTCACCGTATCCCGTCCCTACAACCGATAGTCGAATTTCCTTCCCTATATTATAAAAAATGTTAGCCATTTTTTTATGAGTACAACCGAGAGTTAAATAAGGTGAAAATGAAAATTACCATTTACATGACTAATCCCTTCTGCGGACTCCGGGCTGCAAATGAGCCACATGTTGAGACATATTATGAGCTCTAAACAAGCCAACTCACGAGTTTAGCTCAAAAAGTTACCAAGTCGAGCTAGCTCGCGAGCTTCAAGAGTTAAACAAAGCTAAGCTCATATTTAACTCGTTTAATAACAAGCCAAATTTCGAACAAGCTTTTCTCGAGTCTGAACACCGAATAGCTCGACTCATATGCTGCCCTACGGACGCAAGATGTATGTCAACTTAACGAAACTATAAAATGGCCCGGCCCATTCACAACCAGCAATGTGCGCACTTCCTCTAACGTGCGCACTAACGGAAAACGCAGTAAGTAACCCGCAAAACCAGAGCATCGGGAAGAGAGAGAGAGACGGGGAGGCCGACAGAGAAAACAGAGCAGCGCGAGGAGAGAGCCATGGAAAATGGCGATCGACGATGACGAAGACGGACAACGGCGAGGAAGAAGGATTCGAGGAATTCATTACCTTCGAGCATCCTCCTCCGTCGCCGAATCCGGAAACCGTCATCTCCGAGTTCCTCGGCACGGCCGCCATGGCTTCCAATTTCGACGACGATGACTGGGGTGATTTTGTCAATTCCTCCGGAGGCGTATTATCACAAACGACGTCGCTCCCGCAGGTTCTCAACCATTCTGACCTGTTCGGAATCTATAACGACGGCAAGCGTGACGATGATGCGCCGCCGAAACAGACGGAGGATCAGCCTGGGTCAGCTCCTGGTCTGATGAAGTCTTCGGGAGCTCTGCCTCTTTCGCTGTTTGGAGAAATGGAGGAGGACGGAGGAGGAGCAGGAGAACAGAAAGGGAGTTCGGTTGCCGATTTCCCCCCGGGCGAGAATGCGGAGTCCGTGAAGAAGACGGGTAATCTAGATGTTAACGATTTGATTGCTAATTTATACAAGCCGAACGGGATCGGAGCAGGCTCTGTCCCGGCAAGTAATGGAAATTTAGTCGGGGCGAATCCGATTGGATTGGATCCGAGTTGGAGCTGGGGGAATGCGTCTGCTATGGGGAATGGGGCGAGTTCGATTCCGAAGCTAGCGAGCACGGACTCGGATCCGTTAAATTTGAATTCAAATGGGTGGAGAATGAGCGGCAATTCTGGTTCGGTTGTGCAAGGGTCGGATTTGAGCTCAGATGCGATGAGCAATGGTTCCAATGCGGCGAATGGGAATGGAGGGTTTGATGAAGAAGGTGATGATGACGATGGTTGGGAATTCAAGGCCGCTGAATCCAAAGTGGAAGATAATGTCAAGGTGACTTGAATATCTCCCGAGTTGTTTTTTTCTGAACGGTGATACCTTTTTGGCGTGTCTAGGTTGCAGTTCTCATTCTATAGGTTAAGAGTACTGATAGTTTCAGGGTATTGGTTTCATCGTTTGTCTTCTGTAGTAAAGAAATACTTGCTACTTCGCCTTATCTTCCATGTCTTTTGATGGTGTATGTTTCTGTGAATCGTTGACAGCCAGAGCAGATGAAGAATCAGAATGGGCCGATTTTTCATCGCAGTGAGCTGAACTCTAGTTGGAATGAGGTCAATTTGGACTTTTCGGGATGGAATACGAGTGCCAATGGAGTTGATCAGAATGGCTTGAATAATGGCCCAGTTACTGAAAGGAAAGAGCTTGCTAGCAATGATGCTTGGGAGTTTGTTGTTGCAGTTGCCCCAGACGAGAAAATCAAGGTAGATTGGGTTTTTATTTTGTTTTACTGAATACTTTCTTTTCCGGAGGATCCCAGCTAGCTTGGGTCTTGGAGATGAGTGTATATATGGACTTGTTTCAGAAACTATGATTTGTTGCACTAGTCCTTCCCTTTCAATTTTTCTATTTGGCATTGGATGGAAATTAGAATTCTTATGTTCTTTGAATAAAGGGTTTATATTAGTTGTTTTGTGGGAAATTTCAGAATGTTGATTCAATATCAGAGGATGTCTCGAAGATGAATCTTAAGAGCTCTAATTTAAGTTGGGATCCACTGCAGCGTCCAGATTCTAATGGCTTGGCTTCAAGCTTAGGTGGAGTGAACGCTGATGTGATAAGTGTGAATCCTGTATTATTGGATGAAATTGATGGGTTTGCTAATTCGGATGGTTGGGCCTTCAAGAAAGCAGAATTAGACTTGCAAGTAAGATAGATATGCTAGTTAAATGTGCGACTCTAATTGATGCTGTTTCTATCTGTCCGTCAAGGAAATTTGGTAACCTTGGTTTATTAACATCTTAACTAAATCTAGTATAACAGTAGAAGCAAAATGTCTGTTTACCTGAATCCTTATTAAAAAGAAGTATCTTGTTTGTGCAAGAACTCTTGTAGGTGCTCCTCATTGAAGTAGTTGATTGCCAGCTGTAAAATAATAGACGTTAGCATCGCAAGTTAATAATTGTTTTGCTATTTGATTTCCTGCCTTTCTTATTATCGTGTATCCCGATTAAACTGCAAGAAATGTAAAGGTTTCTCATTTTGTAATACAGTTGCTACTCAATTTGTTCAGGATGCGGCAGGGAAGATGGAAAATGGCCCACAAATGCAATCTACTATATTTGATTCAAGTCTGAATATTTCCGACTTGGATGGTGGTGGTGGTGTGAATCCAAACCTGTTTGCTACCGACTGGAATGCGAAAGAAGAGATTTCAGATACAAAACAGTTGAACCCAATTGTAATCACTGAAACCGAGGATCTTGAGGGTGAGGACGACTGGGAATTCAAGGTTGCAGAATCAGAATCAATGTCCATTGATTCGAGTAGTAAGGTAAAACAAAAGCTGTAGTTGATCTCTTCTTGTTTGACATGCTACATTTGTTTTATCTTCTTCTTGATAATTGTGAAGCAGAAAAGTATTAACTGGTCGCGTCAGTAGACTTTCTTTCATCTAACGAATGAGATAATGTTTGATGTGTCTTTGATATTTTGACTTCATAAGATCTCTTCTTTCTGTAATGGGCTGGTAGTTTGTTTTGGCTAGTACTAGGATATGGTGGTTGCAGATATTCCTTGTTGCTTGATAGCTTAACAGGCTGTTGTCACAGGGAAGGGACTATATGCAGAAGCTGTCTCCCTTTCCCTGTTTTTGGGCTTGTCTGAACTGGTTTGGGATTGTACTCTCTTTTGTTTAATAATTGAATAATATATGTCATCATTAAAAAAAAAAAAGGATATCTTCTTTCTGGTGACATCGTTCCCTTTTTGGCACAGGCTATTGAAATAAGGCATAGCGACAGCCAAGGAGCCCTGCCTCTGTCACTTTTTGGTGATGAAGAAACAGAGCCCAACGATCCCGTCTTCTATGAAGTCACTTCAGTTCAGATTTCTGCTCCAGAAACAAGAGAAGACAATAAGGGTTTTAGTTCCGGTCTCTCTATTCATGATCTAATATCAAGTTTATACAGTGAAGTTGAGCAAACGGCTACGGTCGGTCACTTACAAGATCAGGATGAAAATGTATGGGGCCCCACAGGGATTGCATTGGCTTCCAATTCATCAAATGATGCTGCAAGTTTGGATGATGATGATGCCTGGGAGTTCAAAGATGCCTCTCCAGTGCCCATGGCCGAGGAGCAAATATCTTTTCCCAAAGATCCTCCAATTAAGGCCAGTAACATAGAGCTTTCTGATTGGATAGACTTATTTACCAAACTGAAGGAAGAATTATGTCTGGTTGCATTCCAACATCTTGAAAATATGAAGGTTGGTGGACTTGCTAAACGTATCCCAATTCCCAACACCATTCCCTCGAAAAAGTCGAACTCTTTTCTTTTGAAGGATTACTTACAAGTGGCTGGATTTTGAATTTTTATTAGCAAGCTCGTGGTGCTGCAGCTCTTGCTGGTGAGGATGCTGCTTTAAGTAACATGGACAAGGAAATACAGGTTTGTGGCATCTCTATTTCAGTGAAAGCTTAAATAGCGATAAGTTGGTGAGAGATTGCTGCGATTTGGGAGCATATGTTATCATGCTCTTAAAATTTCTTCCTTTGCCGTTTCTCTTCCACCTTCATCCATGTCCTTTCATTTCTCCCGCATTGGGTGGATATGCAACAATACGAGAGTGACTTTTTTGTGTTTTCTTCTGTCTGCTATTGTAGGATATGCATAATGGACTGCTCGAATACGGCACTGTTCCCGAAGTTCATTCAGGAGATCAGCTGCTATGTGAAATACGAACCCGTGAATTGTTTGAACTGTTGCTGCACCCTAATTTTCAAGTCATTGAGTCAGAATATCAGTTATCAGAAAAACTGTTGAAGGTAAGTCACAATACTTGTTCTTTTTCTTTGAAAGAACAGTTGATGTTAGAGTTAGGGTTTGAACATACTTATCCTTGGTAAGCAATAAGTTTGCTATCTCATGTAAACAATATGGTAAAGCTCAACCTGGTTACATAGCAAGTGACAGTCTCTTACTTTTGTTTCTAGAAGTTTGAAGATCCCTTTTTCCAGTTAGGTTTGGTTAGATTGTTTTGACTAGTCTAAACTATTATTTCATTGTGTTGATAGGTTCAGAGCGACTCAAATTCTACACTCCTACTTCTCAAGAAGGTGGTTTCAGTGATGAAGATTTTGACCTTATTATCTAGACGGGAACAAACTAGTTACGTTTCCACATGGTCTAAGATGCTCTATCAATGTGCCGAAGAGCTGAAACAAGGGTCAATGATTTGGAGCCACTTGCTGCAAGAAAACATCCAAGGTCAAGTTCTCTCAAGCGTTGAAGGTATAATAACAAGAATCTTGTGAGAAACTGAATTCAATGATTGTTGTGAGTGCTCAAAATTCATTTATCAAATACAGGAAAGAGATATTTCCTTGCTCTTGGAGAAATTTACAGAGTTTCTGAAGTTCTTCGATGCACTGCCCGGCTTTATAAGCCGTGGATATTGCTGGAACGGACTGACTCCATATCCTTCTATTCCATCATGAACGAGTGTTCTGCTCTATGGTCAAGCTCAGGACTGGAAGAAGCTCTCTTAAGCATTTCTGATGGTTCCGTGAAGGCATTACTGGAATCTGTTCAATATCTTCATAATCTCGAGGATGATACACTTTACGAGATTGTGTTTGCCGGACAAGGCTACACCTGTCAACTCTCAGGTCTTAATCCAGGAGTAGTGCCAGGTAAGCATGATTTCGTGTACATTCTAAGATTAAGCTACTAAAGATTAAAGTTGGAGACTCCTCCAATCATTTGAGTTTCGAAGCTGAGATTGCTATTCTGTTCTTACATGCCTTTGCTGCGGTCTGTTTAACCATTTTGTTGTCTCTCAACAGGGATGGAAACCATCGTCTGGAACGGGAGCCAGTACTTTGTCAAGCTTGCTAACTTATGGGCTAATTTGATAAGTTGCGATCCGCCAAATATGCCTCGCTTGCACATCGGATGATGATGACCATTGCAGAGATTTAGCTCAGACGTGCAGAGATGATGATTATTCTTTAGCAGAGACCACCCATTGAAAGCAGTCATGTTGCCGTGGGTGAGGGCTCGAGCCACAGTTACCCCCTGCCTCCAACATTGATCTTCGGGGAAGTGAAAGAAAGAAAGGACAGAATATTCTCAATCCAAGCTTGCCGTGTGTTGCATATCGCCATATGGATCTCGTTTGAGAAAAGTCAGGCAAGATATCTCTGAAGCCTCCCATTCACAATTTTCCCCGCCCCTTTTAAGTGTTGTCCATTCTTTGCACAGAGCGCAAGCTGTAACATAGAAGCTTTTGGTTTTGTAGCCCCCAATTTGCACATGCACAAGACCTTTGGGGGAGGGGTGGTTTGCCCTTGGGATTTAAGGGTGTATTCCTTTTCCTATTTCCATGTTGTATTCTTTAAAAAAATGGGCCTGTAATATTTGGAATAAAAATATCTCGATATCTTTGCTTTGAAATGAAGAAATTACTACAAGTTTGATTTCTTCCTTTCATTTTATTTTTTCGTCGAATAAGTTCATCTTTATTATTAGCAAGGAGAATTGTAAAACAAAGTCTCATGAGAAAGAATAAGTTCATCTTTATTATTAGCAAGGAGAATTGTAAAACAAAGTCTCATGAGAAAGACTTACTACTAGAGAGTGGAGAGAGTGTTGAGAGAAGGCAAAGTTGGAGAGAGAAAAAGCTCTGACCTCTCTTCTCTTCTACCGTTGTTTGCGATCTTTCTGATGCCTCCCCCGGAGGTGGAGGTGCATCCGTTGAAGCCTCCTGATGAATCCCCGTCGTCGACCCTCATCCAACCAAGCAAGAAGGCCAAGTCGATAGTGAGTGACGATTTCTCAAGTCAGAATGACATGGAGGTAGGTACAGTTACTGCAAGGATTCCAGAAGCCGATACCGAGATGGTAGGATCCGAAGAGGGACACGAGGGAAAATCAATCAATGGAAGAAATCATTGGGAGCTGAGGGTCCTCGCGTCTCGTACAAGGATTCTGTCCTTGGAAATGGCCCCCAACCTGCCGAAGAGGAAGATTTTGGGGATGAACTAATGTCCGACGAGTCCGAGGGCGAGGACTGAGGATGCAGAAGATGATCCATTTTGCCCGACCATTAGGATCAAGAAGAAGACCGACACAAGGGTTCGACGCCGATGGGGAAGAGCCATTACTTTCAGAGTTTTGGGTAAGCTCTTCCCCTTTGCCTTCGTTCAACGTCGTATCCGCAGTATGTGGGCAACAATTGGAGGGGTCAAGATGGGTGATATCGGGTATGGATATTTCCAAGCCATTTTTGATTCCCAACTGGACTATAATATAGCAATTTATGTGGTCTCCGAACCTTGGAGATTGGATTTTGATCCAGACTACAATGTCATCAACAAAACGGCGGCCGGGTTAGACTTCCCCGTCTACCGCTAGCCTACTTTGATGAAGAGATTCTGGAGGACATTGGAAGCAAGTTGGGTAGGGTAGATAAAATTGACTATAACACCTCCAATGGATTTTGAGGCACCTACGCCAAAATCTGCGTTGGACATTGGAAGCAAGTTGGGTAGGGTAGATAAAATTGACTATAACACCTCCAATGGATTTTGAGGTAACTACGCCAAAATCTGCGTTGAAGTGGATTTAAGGAAAATGTTGGTATCTAAGTACAGAATTAAGAGAAGAATCCGCTGTGTGGAGTATGAAGGTCTCCATCTTATTTGTTTTGATTGTGATCATTATGGCCATCAAGAGGAAAACTACCCACTGAAAGTCGCCAACAGAAACACGACCCCAGAAAAAAGAACAATGGATATAGGCCAAACAAAGCCTGTAATGGAGATCAGACCGAATGTTCTCGATGATTATGGGCCTTGGATGATTTCTACCCGTACCAGAAGGAAGAAGCAGCCTCAAAGTACCCAACTCAGGGAAGGAAAAAAGGGGAGCACACAGCATTCCAATGTCACGATTCCAGGACCTGGAAGATGAGGACGCGGAAGCAGATGCCAAGGAAGTGGAAGAAGAAGAGCCCCAACAGGAGATACCTTATGTTGATGTTGTGACACAGGAAAATTTGGAAAGACAATCAGAAGGGAATAATGGGAAATATGCGAACCACGAGAATGACAACTTGACTGAGGATGTTGTAATGAAGGAGAGTCTGCAGAAGGGAACCACCTATGAGGTAGGCAAGCTGGATAAAGAAGACCACCAAAAGGTCTCGCCTGAGGTGACCAAATCCAAGAACAAAACCAACGATACAACAAAGAAGCAAGGAACCAATGTGCCAAAGCAGCCTAGCGGTAATGTTGAGAGAAGAATGGAAAAACAACGCCATGAACGACAACCTGCTCTTGGTAAGCACCTAGGAGTTTCTAATCCTTGCAGCTCTAGGAGAGTGAGACAATGGAAAGGAAAGGAGCAGACTAGTGTGTCAAAAGCAGGTCATTAGCCCAAGATGAAAGACCAGACAGTAGGTGCGGGGTCTTCGAAGACGCCTAAGGTGAAACATGCCAAGTCCCAGAAAAAGGGAAAAGCCTCCCAGGAAGATTGAGTTTGCCTCTAATCCTGAAGTGACATGCATCTTGCTATAAAATGCTTACCAGTCCAGGAAAGCTGCTAAAGGTAGCGATAATGGAGTGGAGATGACTGCTATGGATGTCGATCACCAGTGAATGTCGACCATTGGGTCGCGAGTCTTCTTCATCAATGATAAAGGTCTTCTCCTGGAATTGCCGTGGTGCAAAACACCACAAATTTATGTCCTCTTTCGAGTTGTATAAAGCTATGCGTAACCCTGATATTGTGCGTATTTTGGAGCCACAGATTAGTGGGAAGGATGTTGAAGTTGTGATCCATACCTTGGGTTACGATCCTAAGATTGTTTCTGAAGCAAGTGGATATAGTGGAGGTATCTAAGTTCTTTGGAACAAGGATAAAGTTTCCATCTATGAGCTTGGTAACGAACGCCAATTCGTCCACCTCAACTATACCCTGTCAAGAAATGAAGTCTGACACATCTCTGCTGTGTAGGCTAGCCCTAATGAGTACACGAGAAGAGAGCTATGGGACTCCCTAAGAAGTATTAATAGAAGGACTAAATTTCTGAGGTAAATCATCGGAGACTTTAACTCTATTACCAGTGCTTCTGAGAAGCATGGAGGTGCTCCTTTTAGCCTTGCCAAGACCAGAGCTTTAACGGAATGTATTAATGATTGCGGGTTGATTAATCTAGGATTCACGAGACCTAGATTTACTAGGTTCACTAGCAGGTCCAAGATTAAGGAGAGGGGACTTTGCAACCTGGAATGGCAGCTAAGGTTCCCCCGATTCTTACCTACAATGGTAGCGAGCCCTGAAACAAACATGGTGCGTCGCTTCCAGTTTCTCGCTCCTTGGCTTGCTCATAATGAGTTTACTCCCTTCATTGCATCTGCTTGGAATTGTTCACATTCTTTCCCCTTCTCTTTGCAGGAGCTTGCTTCCAAGCTACAGAAATGCAATAAAGAAGTCTTCAGGAACTTATGAAGGATCTGGAAAGTCTCGAGTTCCTGAATGAGCGGGTAGCAACCGACTACTCCATAAGTAAGGAGAAAGCCACGAGTGAAGAGCTGGAGGACACCTTGTGGTAGGAAGAAATTCTATGGCTGCAGAAGTCAAGGGCTGACTGGGTGGTTCATGATGACCTTAACGCTTGGTTTTTCCATAACAACACCGTTAGCAGGAGGAAAAGGAACAAAATCACAGGATTAAAGGACGAGAATGGGGAGTGGCTCAACAATCCTGATTCTCTCCTTGGCATGGCTACGGAGTTCTATGTGACTCTTTTCACCAAGGATGGCAACCAGGACTTACCTTCCATCCCCGCAGATTTTCCTGCCATTGAAAGAGATAGCTTGATGAATCTGGCGACTCCTCTGAGTCCTTTGTAGATTTGTGAGATTGTTAAAGGGTTGAGGGGATTGAAAGCACCTGGCACGGATGGGTTCCACGTGGTGTTCTATCAACGTTGCTGGAACATCATCGGAAGAGATCTTTCTAACTTTATCCTCTATTGCTATGCTAATCCTGAGAATTTTCGTTTTGTTAATGAGACTTTGTTGGTCCTTATTCCTAAAGTAGATGCTCCAGTTTCTATGAGTCAGTTTAGGCCAATTAGTCTATGTAACCCTACTTATAAAATTCGTGCAAAATGTCTTGCTAATAAGCTTAAGCTTCTTATGAATCAATTGGGGGGAGCTAATCAATCCAGCTTTGTTCCTAATAGGCAAATCACTGATAAAATTTTAATTTGCAGGAAACAGTGCACCCCATGGCCAGAAATATAGGGAAGAAAGGTCTTATGCTCCTCAAGATCGATTTGGCCAAGGCATACGACCAGATTGATTGGAGCTTTTTGGAGGAGATCATGATATCGGTTGGGATGCCTAGGAACATTGTCAACCTTGTGATGCAATGTGTCAACCTCAGGAAGAGTTACACTTTCTCTGTCCGTTCTGAATGCGCTGCCCAATTATGTCATGCAAACCACCTCTCTTCCTCTTTCTGTTTGTGATGATATTGATAGAAGAATTAGGAGTTTCGTGTGGGGTTCTCAGGAGGGTAAGAGAAAGGTCCCTCTGCTGTATTGGGAAACAATTTGTAAACCTAAATGTCAGGGAGGGCTGGGGTTGAGATCGGCTAGAAGCCTGAATACAGCTTATATGATCAAGTTAGGATGACAGCTCCTCAATAATGAAAATGATTTGTGGGTGCAGGTCCTTCGAAGCAAGTATTTCAAGTTTAAAGAGGGAAAAATTGTCTCCATGAAAACTAGTAACCACTCTAATATCTGGAGAGCAATTAAGAAGGCACTGCCACTGATGCAAAGTGCGGCAAGCTGGATCATCATGAATGGTGAAACAACATGCTTCTAGAGACATCCGTGGATTGACTGTGGCATTATTCTGGAAGATGAGCTCTTGCAGGACCTACCTGAGGCTAAGAGAGCGTCTGTGGTGGGTAGTTGGATTGATGAGGAGGGCAACTAGAACTGGCAAAGACTCAACAGCCTCCATCCGCCACGTTTGCTCTCTTATTGCAGGTATGGAAGCTCCTCAATGTGATATGGGAGAGGACAAGAGGATCTAGGGCATTGAAAGAGACGGTCGGTTCAGACTTAGCTCTGTTTACCACCTCGACATGGAAAGAGACGAGACTTGGAAGAAACTATGGAAGTGGAAAGGACTAGCTCGTGTGAAACACTTCCTCTGGCTGGTTCTTCATGAAAGGCTTCTCACCAATAAAGAAAGGATGAAGAGGAACTTAACTAGTAATGGTAATTGTAGCCATTGCACTGCATCTGAGAAATCCACAGATCACATTATTTGTCACTTCTCGAAGACAAAGGGAATCTCGAGCAAACTTCAGCACTACGTGAAGGAGAGAAGAAATGATATCTCCTTTCAACATTGGATGATCAACAACTTGAGCAACGACGCTACAGGGGTTGAATTTGGTTTGACCTGCTGGCATTTATGGAA